GGCGAGCAGACCAGGGGGGACCTCAAACGAGGGGGTTCATCAAACCGAAGGATCATGAAACAACTAGAACCCATGTTGAAGAAGTTCATAGATTGCTTTACAGACAAAGAATCGATCTCATCTAGAACTGGATCAACATACAAAGCTAAGATGGGAGAATTATTCACAACGGGTGTTGAGTATGCTCTGTCGGGGCGGTGTCATGAAGTTCATGATTTCTAGGGAGAAGTACACGATATGACGGATCTTTAATAGTTGTCTCACAGCATGGAAGTGCAATGACTGTGATCATTCCTAGCCATGCGGCAATCATTCAAGTCTGCCCCATACATTACGCGCTCCAATCGAACCTGTGCGGCACGCGACAGCCGCGACGCCGCTCGAGCATAAATTCCCACCCCTGGTTAGGAGCTGTGCACATATGCACACTTTTTCTAAACTCATTGAAGTGTAGTTGTTCCCCCATCAAATGAATTACGCCACACTAATGGCAGGATTCCTAATCACTAGTAAATTCCTGCCAATAGTTGATTGTTTTGACTGTATGGTTTAGCCTGCTCGATGATTGAATAAGAAAATCTCCTATCATTTTCATATAAAAATCACAATTTTACAGCCGAGTCGAGCAATAAACAAATAAACAAGAACGAAAACGAAAATGGGATGTAGGGGGGGGGGGAGGATACACGGTTTTGTGTGTCTTACTGCTCACCTTCACCAAAAAGGTAAATGTTGATCATGTAGACCTTTCTGTTCCACACAGAATTTTCGCCTTAACACCTTCACATGCCTACCATTTCTATGCTATTCCCCTTCTTTGGCTTGAACAAAAAGAAATTCATTTAGTTGGCTCGAAACCCTTCTCTCGCATCATCACAGGCTCGTTGAGCTGATGCTCCATTCTTCTCTGCATTATAGCTTTGGTTAGAGACACGAATTGTCTTCACCCACCCACTTTGCGTTATTGTTCTACCCACTTCCTATCCATTTCTGGGAAGCATCCAAGCGAATGGCTTTCGTTCAGGATCAAAGTGGGTTGGTAACAAAGCCTTTTCAATGGCGATTGGAACGCAAAAATCCTGTAAGGACAACCTTAACACTTTGGAGAGGCTAACAATCTTTGTTCGATTGGTTTAGACTAGATTTCCTACATTTTGTTTCGTTTATACAAAATACTTCCACCCCTGAGGTACAACCTCAAGGCGTCCCCTTCATGAGGACGCGGGTGTGGGTAAGTGGGCTTTCTCATGTATCAACAATGACTGAACAACACCACTTTGGTCCATCATATTCTACAACTACCGCCATGGGAATAGCCAGCCAGTGCATATCCTACTATCAACAACCCATTTGGCGCACTGATCACAGTTTGACGCTCCACATTTGGGTAAACCGCTGTAATATGGGGAATCTGTTGAAAAAAAAAACTAAAATTTCATGAAGGACCCCTTTCTCTACCGTGCGTCTTCCTGGTAGACTATGCTCAAAAACGCGGAGGTGGGATACCATGGCATCAGAGTGAGTAAGAATAAAGTCGTAAGTTAAGCGCATGTACGCTCTATAGGCTTCCATATCGAGCTTGTACACCATCAAAAACGACCACGGTTCTCAATTAGAATACGTCTACGAGGAATTTCAGACATTACAGTTCGATTCTGGGTGCTTTATCCCAATTCAATGCCTTTGAACCATATGCTAAGGACCAAAACCCGGGTTGTGCGTCCCTTCAAAGATTTGCCTTTCTAGAATCTTTCTTCTCAACTATTCTCAAGATCTGTCGCTGAATTAGCAGGAACACTGGGTGTGACTACTTATATTTCTAGTAATTCAGTCAGCTCACCCCGACTTACCAGCCTCAGACAAGTGAAATGAGATTGGAAAAACTCCTTTTTTAGTCTGAATTCCTTGTTTCAACGAAATTTTCGAGTAATTACTTCCTTGCTAGTTTCCTATTCGTAAAGGGCCAGTACGAGAGATTCGCGAAATCGACTCCTAATTACGTTTTGTTCCTGGAGTGTCAGTTCAAAGCAAATCCCTGTGGGATAAGACTTCCCGTGTGAATCAGCGGCGAACTGGACGACATTGGCTCTCAGGAATTGAAACAGAAATGGGCTACTACAAATTTGGAGCTCATTCTGATTGGAAAATCGCTCTATTACCAAGATACCAAGACTGGTACAAAAAGGTAAGATAGATCAACTGGAAAGGGGATGGACTCCTCCGAAAGAGAAGAGTTCCGCGTTCAATGTTGGGATTAGGCAGCATGCATGGCGCAAACTGGATCGGATCAGTTCGATAACGTTAATCAAAGTTCTCGAGGAGCTATATCATTTGAGTGGAAGTGAATGGAGAGCTAGCAGAATGCTCAAAAGTCAAAGAAAGAAAAAAAAAACTGTTCGCACCGAAGAGTGGAAACATGATACCAGACAAGAGGATCGAGAAGTGGGGGGTGAATAGGATGTGATCGGAGAAGAAACATGAAGATTTCGAGTAGTTGCCGAGTGTCGTCGCGGTCGGTCGGTCGGTCGGTCTGTCGGCAATGGGTGGAGCATCGGAGAGTTACGATGGGCATACACACACACAGACAGGGACGGGATGTTCTCAGTGACAAGCTATTAGCAATGGGCGTATAGCGATGAGGTCAAAGGTCAGTCTGAGCGGGGTCTTATTCGGGATTCTTAGTGAGGCATGGTCTGGGAGAAGAATGGGTTCGATATACGAGTTTC